ATACAAAGTTGCGTGCAAACTTTTTCCACGGCCAGATTATTTTTTTATCAACATTAGATCTATCGGTATACTGTCAACGGAAGTTCGCATAAAAAGTGCACTTACCTTCAACTTTACTTTGCTGAATCCCAAATCGTGTGTGTATGTGTGGAATAGCTTTATTTAACTTTAAATCACGGCATCATTTCTTCTTTGGGAAAAATAATAACCTATGCCGCCATTTTAAATCCCAGAATTCCGTACGTTCCGGTCAAACGAACAAACAAAAAATATTTAATAAATAATTGAAGCAATTTTGATAAATAACAACAATAACCGTAACCTATAAAAAAATATTGTAATGTGAATAGAAATAATATGATATAAACCGATTTAAACACAATCATCAACCGTGAACAGATCGTGACCTTGACCTTGCCCGAGACGATAAAAATATATTTGTACATCTACATGTATTTAGGTCTAAAAATGGCGACTGTTCGTTTGAAAGGCCTGTAATATTTCTGATAATGAATCTATTCATATTATTTGTTTGTACGCTCTACCATATTTTATATGAGGTTACATGATTACGTTATATTAAAAGAATAATCAAATCGGGTAATTTTAATTTTCAGAGATAGGTCTTTTATCGAGAGACGATAAATATATGGACTCATATAGCTAGAGTAGATCTCTATGTTAATTGACTGGGTAATTATTATCTATTTTTCAGATTCATAACTTAAAAAAATGGAACTATACCTTATCCCTTGCCAGATCCTCCGCCCTGCCACAGTCCATACAAAATTTCCGCCATAGCACTCTGCATTGCGTATGACTATCTTCAATAGTCCGATTGGTTCAGAAAAGTATAAAAATGAATTTTAAATGGGGTTTGAACATCCTACTATTTTGTTCCAAGTGGGCTAATGAAGAAGGGCATATGCTATAATGGTTAAAATGTTGTGATTTCGGGTTAAAATGCCGTGATGTTGGGTTATCGCCTTACGAAGGGTGATATCAGTCACCATATCTACTGGGTTTCTTTAATACTCTTATTTATAGTATTTTATAGAGTCAGACTAGTGGACTAGTGAATGCACGGATTAGTGCACCCACAGACTAGTGAACCCGCAGACTAGTAATTGGCAATGATGGAAAAGTGTGTAAAGACATGTTTTACAGGTTGGCGTGCACTTAGAACTATTGGTAATGATTATATGTGGAAATGCTGCTCTCCAAGCAAAATGTCTTTCCTAGCACTTCTTCATTAGTAAGTGCGGTAATGCTGCTGTCCATGCAAAATTTCTGTCATAGCACATCTTCATTACTAATTTTGATAAAGCCATGGTGGCTAAGTGCGTAAGATGCTGGCTCGGGAATCCGGAGGGCACGTGTTCGATCCCTGCATTGGTGGAGAAAGTTCATCAGGATTTTCCGACATGGTTTCCCCTTGTCAGAGGTGCAGGAACAAGGACAGTAGTCTAGTCACTCAGATGGGACAAAAAACCGAGGTACCATGTATACATTGGCTTGCACGAAAAGATCCCTTGGCAGTTGGATTCGATATTAGTAGGCAAAATTTCCCTCATAGCACATTGTATGGTATGTACCTGTCTTCATTAGCCCAGTCGGAGCAGAACAGTAGGACAATAAACCGATTTCATCAGGACAAACCTACATGAGGAAAAACCTACATTTCACAAACTTAGTAATTAGTAACGGGGGGTTGGATGGCTGAATGGTTAGCGTGCGGGCGCTGTATCATAAAGTCTGTCATTGAGTTGACTGGCGTGGTTTTGAATCCCCGGTTGTACGTGACAAGGAGTAGGGTCGCCTGTCCAACCTCCGGTTTTCTCCCACTGCTAAAGACCCCTACGCGCAAGCGAATTATGTAAATAAAAATTAAACCATATGTTAGTCCCGAAATGACCTAGTTTGTGTCGAGTAGACGTTAAACCCCATTTCTCTCTCTCTCTAGTAATTAGTAACACACTGGCTAGCAAATGAGGGGTTCAATTTCCGTGTTGGTCGAGAAAAATGAAATGAAATCGGGTTTAACGTCCTACTGTTCTGCTCCTAAACTGAGCTAATGAAGATGAGCATACGCCATACAGTATGCTATGAAGGAAATTTTGCCCAGGCAGCGGCGCTATGGCCTACTCTTATATCAAGTTCCAACTACCAAGGGATCTTTCATGTGCACTCCTGTGTGTACACGTGACCTCAGTTTTTCATCCCTGACTAGACAGCTGTTCTTGTCAGGCCCTCCGTCCTGTATCACTGACAAGGGGAAAACACGCAGAAAAATCTGGATGAACTTTCTCAGCCAATGCAGGGATCGAACACCCGACCTCCAGGCTAGCGAGTCAGCGTCTTACCCACTTAGCGAACGTGATCCCCATGTTGGTCGAGAAAGTTCCCTTTGTTAGTAGTGGTGTAGGACAGAGGACCTCAAAAAAACAGTGTCTAGTCCATCACGTGGGTGTGCACGTAAAAGAACCCTTGACATTTGGAATTTGAAATGAGAGTAGATCATTCATTCATTCGTTTTCTCTTTGTGTGTCACCTAGAGACCGCAACTATTAAAGGAGCTAGATCTCTATTCTTGGGCACTTAGAAATGGATACAAAATGTAATGAAATGAAATGGGGTTTAACGTCCAACTGTTCTGCTCCGAACTGGGCTAATGAAGATGGCCATACACCATACAGTGTGTTATGAGGGAAATTTTGCCCCGACAGTGGCACTACGGCCTACTCTTATATCGAATTCCAACTGTCAAGGGATCTTTTACATGCATGCCAATGTGTACACAGGACCTCGTTTTTTTTTTTATCCCATCTGAACAACTAGACAGCTGTCCTTGTCAGGCTCTCCGTCCTGCATCACTGACAAGGGGAAACCACGCCGGAAATCTGGATGAACTTTCTCGGCCAATGCAGGGATCGAACACCCGACCTCCAGGCTAGCGAGCCAGGGTCTTACCCATTTTAATGACTAGACAGCTGTCTTGTCAGGCCCTTAATTGTTAGTATCATGACATTAAACTGACATTTGTTTTACGTTTTACAACTAATATCAGGTTTATGTTAGAAAACTAACGTTAGATTTATGTTAGAAAACTAAAGTTAGATTTATGTTATAAAATTAACATTAGATTTACGTTAGAAAACTAACGTTAAATTAACGGTTAAAATTATGACATAAAACAAACATTACATTAACGTTAGAAAACTAACATTTTATTAACGTTAGAAAACTAACGTTAGATTTACGTCAGAAAACTAACGTTAGATTTACGTCAGAAAACTAACGTTAGATTTACGTCAGAAAACTAACGTTAGATTTACGTCAGAAAACTAACGTTAGATTTACGTCAGAAAACTAACCATAAACTAACGGTTAGAAACCTGATGTAAAATTTACGTTAGATTAACGTTAGAATTATAACCAATAATACATATATAATTATTATGTCTGAATTCCGACTATATATCAATTGTTAGAATGTGCACACACTTGTAATGTTATTCAATCAAGAAGTATTCAAAGGGAAAAAAATTGGTTAGTAATCCGTCATAAAGTTTACGTTACATTTACGTCATTTTCTGACGTAAAAGTAACCATAACCATTATGACGTAAAAGTAACGTAAATTTAACCAAAGAATTTTACCATTATTGGACGCTAACCAAAATCTAACCATAATGACGTAAACTTTACGTAAATCTAACCATCAATGTTAACTGGGTGCAGGCAGGATTTTTCGAACTAATTAAGGGCCATAACTCTGGCAGTAATTACAGAAATCGTTGAAAAAATGTAGGTATCTTTTTCTCATGACCTTAAACACGGTGTGTAAATCTAAAGTCAATTGGATATTAACTTTGGCCTCTAGAGCGTCCACACGATATTTTAAACTCTGGGAGTAATCAACGAAAATCATTGAAAATCGATAGGCTTCTTCGTCTCATGACCTTAAACACTGTGCATAAATTTAAAATCAATCTGATATTATATAAATACAAATCCAAAATATAATTGAAATAACAAGAAAAATCCAAACAATTTGATTTTTAGAAATATTTATTAAAATAACAAGAATGTTGAAGAAAAATTACAATTTTTTGATTAAAGATACATTATGTAAAATTCAAATAAAGAGCTAGCCATTCTTGCTATAACAGTTCGAAAATTGATAATGTCAAATGAATAATTAGAAAATTTCATGCAAATTTCATGCAAATTACTCTAATGCGAGCAAATATATTAGTCTTTGAAGGATTGACAAGACGTGCAATAATCTCAACCAACGTACTGGTTGATCGAAGCTAAGTCTTGCTCCTCCATTTTTAGCTTAAAACAAAATATGGCTGAACTGTTCTAATCTATATAATATCGGAGAAATCCGATGCCATCGAGAGTTGATTATGGTCTGGATAAGTTAATTACTGTATAATTAATAATTTGAAAAAAAAATTCAGACCTAAAGAAAGACCTGCAATAGGCAGATTTAGCTCTTGCATAATGTATGTGTAAGAAACAATATCTTTTATAATGAAATCAATGGCGCAAACATCATCGAGGAGTTTATCAGACATCAGTCTATATTATTAGTATGTCTATGGTCTAGACCGACCATAAACCATGGTTGGCATTTCCATTGCAGCAACTGCTCGCACTTATATTGTCTTGCCTGGATTATATTAATATAATGAAACTATACACCAAGTTTCATCACTCTCACCAAAATCATTATGTCCCAAAGCATCAACCAATCAAATTGCTTATCTCTGTTCATCTCCATCAAACTCACCTAATAAAACCTACACCAAGTTTGGACATTCTAGCTCAATTAGAAGGAGAGTTATTGTGTCCCAAGGAGCCACGGTGGCTTTCTTCGAAAGTCGGGGGACAAAAATGAAGTTTGCGACAACAAAAATAATAATTGGATTATATTAATATAATAATAATAAAACTTTGTTTTAGAAAAATGTATGTAAATATTGAACTTACTACAATTTAGTTGTGGACAAATATCTTGACTTATAGTTAGACACTGAATCTCTGACTCATTTCCTGTACTTAGTCTATTGTATGGACTGACAATAACACCAACAAATTGACCTCCACCAAGTTTACTAAACCACTCCTAAAGTTACAATATACAGGGTGACCAAAAAGAAACAGAACCCATAACATTTTTTTAAATCCTTCACTTCAGTCTGTGTACGATTATTTCCTTGTTATGGTACTTGTTATTTGAGACTTGGCCTCGATTCGCCATTTGTAAATTAAATCATTAAAAAGCGACCATGTTTTAATAATTCATATAACATTTGAAGTCAAAATAAAAGACTGCAATAGGTCGATTTAGCTCTTTAATAATACATCTTTAATAAAGAATCTTTTACATGTACTATCAATTTGTACTTTCCTTGTCATTTCATCTAAAACATGTAGATTGTGTAATAAGCAATATATAAAAGTAGGGGATATTCAAAAACAATACAAAACTGTGGAAATGCACTGCTGTTTTTATTAGAGGTAACCAGTGTATGCTAATAACACGCCAATTGCCTACACATGAACATAAACAGTTCGTATGGGCGGCTTATCTGACGGCCCCATTTCACTCACAAAGAGATACACCGTCAAAAGTGAAAATGGACGTTTTTGATTTTTGTCTTAATAATGAGTAACTGCTCCACCAATCCTCAGACATTCAGCAATCCTCAGGCATGCTTCTAATCAACCGTCCAATCACGATTTGGGGCAATCTGACCCACTCCTCTTGCAGTGCCATGGCCAATTCTTGTAGTGTTGGGTTGACGTCGACGAACACGTCTCCTGATCAAATTAAACGTAACACACTAAAGCAAAGATACACTAAGCAGTAAATCTTATGCAAGAACCGATAGGAAAGCAAACATGGATAGATAAACCAGCACGCGGCAGTTTTCGTCAACCCTTCCTTGAAGTGTCAAATTTGACAATGAACCCCTCCTCCGTGTATGGCGCTATTGCGTGTCGTGTCACATGTGCAGCTCAGTGGTTCTGTTGGGGCAATAAGTTCTTCATCTGTGAACATACTCTCAAAGCATATCAAGTGACCATGACTATTTGTCATATCACAACCTGCATAGGTATTTGCATTTCAATATCCCCTACTTTTTTTGAAGAGTATATATAAGTACCTGAAATTTGATCTGTGTTTCAATATCTCGTATTGAAGGATTAGGAGAAAAGGTAGGATGGGAATGATACCAACCAACTACTTTTAAACACTTGGAATATATTTCTTCACTAGCTTGAGTCTGGGAAACTAGAACCAAGAAAAACAGTGAGGCTAATGCCCCCTGCCTCAATCCAAAAATAAATAGATGACACTCATTAATTGTTTTTACAAAACATCAAGCAATCAAATTATCAAAGGTATTGATGTTATAAAATTACACGCCAAGCTTTATCACTCTCCATTTGAATCAAAGTTATGTTCCAAAGCATCAACAATTCAAATTACTTAGCCTATGCAGGAAATCATCATATCAAACACAGTTGCAATATTCACATTCTACCTCAAGTTTGTGTCCCAAAAAGTGTGACAAACGGATATACAAACTCATTTTAATAGTTCCATGTTTTCTTAGAAGTGCAATTTTTAAATCATTAGAGATTTATATCTATTCACATAAATGGAACAGGAAATTTTATGAAATATTTACACTTCATTTTCTTGATTATCAATTCTATATTAAATGCACAGAAAACGAAGACAAATTTTTATACAAAAAATGTGTCATAGATTCAAATTAAAAATTTATCTGTATTATTATTGTACCATTATCACTTTATGTAGAAAATGATAAAAAAGAAAATATATCTTATAAATAGATAACATACTGGTATTTAGAAAAGATAAAATACACGTATAGCTAAATATACCTGGATCCATTTCACACTGCATGCAAGTACTCATACTTCTACAGGGTACAGCCATAACAATTTCTAATTGTGCATCATTTTCATTATATATACCTCCTAACATTCCTATAACTTCAGTCTTAGATATATGGGCATGTACATCCATTACAATAAGAGCTATGTTATTAAATTCAACTTTAAATGGTGCCTACAAAGAAATTTAGAATAAATGACACAATAAAGATGATCATAATTAAAATACTTAGTTCAACCTTTGATAATTAAAATTGGAAACTTATTTTGCAGCATTCTATAACTGGTTATTTTTATGGTTTATTAAAGATTTGCCCGCATACCACATTCTGTAACAGCTATATTTTCTGTTCTGTTGAAAATAACAGATATGTTCACAGGTCACCAAAAGAAAAAAACAAAACAATAATTCAATGTTTCTTTGCTAAAATTCGAAGAACTTATATTTTTGTTAATAAAATAAGCCACAGACCTTCTTTTCATCTGTAAAACTTAAACAAGGAACAAGTTTAAACGGATCATAGCTTTTTCTAGAGACGTTCATTATTTTAGGCTTTGTTTCTAGGTCACATCTAGAGGTGTTCTACAAAACAATTTTTATAACCATTATCAATTATATACAATTTGAAATATCCATTCAACTAGTGATGGTGCAAGTTGCTTCATGTCTTGTGAAGTTTGCATTATCCATTAATTTTGTACTACAAAATTGTCTTGGTTAGCATGTGCTGAATTTTCCAGTCCTTTAGCCAAATGACAACAAATCAGCAGATCATGTAAGACATATTGTCTAAAATGCCTTAGTCATTATGTCAAACATGTCAATTCAATTCTTTATTTCTTTAAGTCTACTGACTCATCAAATAACATATATACACAAACACAATATATACACGGCAAGTAAATACAAACATTATAATTACAAATACACAAACACAATATACACATGTCCATTAAATACAAATAGACAAAAAGTATGGGGATGGGGTGTAAATAAATTGTATTAAATTGCTAGCCTAAATTTAAACATGACGGAAAATGCAGAATTATTATAAGCTTCATAAAATGATCCGAACTTCTAAAATGACTTTAAAAGGTGAAAATAAGCTAGATTATTACCATAAAAAATAAATAAAAAAAAAGAAGAAAAAATAACAAAATAAACAGTCAAATCAAAGGGTGGGAGGACATTTTAGTTAGGTCAGGTAATGTGGCAAGTTTAATTATTATTTAATAGAGTGGTTCTTTTCTTATCTGCAGAAATGAGAAATTTGCCCAGGTTCCGTATTTCGGATGTTCAAGTTGTACTTAATAACTGAACAAGCCAACAGTGAGGCTGATGTCCCCCGCCGAAATTGCAAAATAAATAGATGACACATATTAATTAATCGCACATTTATTTTTTTCACTAAGTTTCATCACTCTCTATCAGATAGAATCAAGATTATCTTGTCCCAAACCATCGACAAATGAAATCGATTAGCTCTGCTTAGCTTCAGCTCGAAATGTTAATTATTGAACTCAGTCAAGACATTCACCTAATGAACATCTACATATACATCAAGTTTAAACATTCACCTAATAGACACCTATGCCAAGTTTGAACATTCTACCTCAATTAGAAGGAGAGTTATTGTGTTCCAAAGTTTCTACCAATCAAATTGCTTATCACTCTGCTTACCCTCAGCAAAAAATGTTCATTATCGAACTTAGTTAAGGTATTCATATAATAAATCTATACACCAAGTTTCATCAATCTCACTTAATTAGAACTAAAGTTATCGTGTCCCAAAGCATCAACCAATCAAATTGCTTATCTCTGCTTACCCTAAGCGGAAAATGCTCATCTTCGAACTCCATCAAGGCATTGACCTAATCAACACATACACCAAGTTTGAACATTCTAGCTCAATTAGGAAGAGAGTTATCGTGCCCCAAAGTATCAACCAATCAAATTGCTTATCTCTGCTTACCCTAAGCGGAAAATGCTCATCTTCGAACTCCATCAAGGCATTGACCTAATAAACACATACACCAAGTTTGAACATTCTAGCTCAATTAAAAGTTATCGTGTCCCAAAGCATCAACCAATCAAATTGCTTATCTCTGCTTACCCTAAGCGGAAAATGCTCATCTTCGAACTCCATCAAGGCATTGACCTAATCAACACATACACCAAGTTTGAACATTCTAGCCCAATTAGGAAGAGAGTTATCGTGTCCCAAAGCATCAACCAATCAAATTGCTTATCTCTGCTTACCCTAAGCGGAAAATGCTCATCTTCGAACTCCATCAAGGCATTGACCTAATAAACACATACACCAAGTTTGAACATTCTAGCTCAATTAGGAAGAGAGTTATTGTGTCCCAAAAAGTGTGACGGACAGACAGACGGATGGACGGACGGACGGACGGACCGACGGACCGACGGACCGACGGACGGACGGACGGACGGACGGACGGACGGACGGACGGACGGACGGACGGACAGACAGACAGACAGACAGACAGACAGACAGACAGACGAACCCATTTTAATAGTCCCCTGCTTTCTTCGAAAGGCGGGGGACAATTAATTTAAATATGTTAGGGTTTCGTAAAAAGAATGGTTTGATAAATTGGTGACGCAATTCATTATAGCAAGGGCAGCTTAAAATAAAATGAAATTCGTCTTCTATGTCATTCAGGTTACAAATTGTGCACTCTCTTTCACTACGTTCTATTCTATTGTATCGGCCTACTTCTATATTTAAATTATGCGCGGATAATCGGAATTTGCTTCTAGTTTTAAGGAAAATAGATTTAACGCTTTTTTTAAAATAGCTCTGCAGCGTCAAGTTAACGGTTAAATGTTGATAGATTATACCTTTGGCGGACGATTTTATTTTTTCCATATTTTCTTGGCCAAAGATATCAAATACAATGTAACCTATTTTTTATAATTTGGAACGTTTCACTGTTAACTTCTTTTAAAAGCAATATATATCTATCTAATTCAGTTTTAATAAATTTAATCCAACAAGTATTTGATAGGCTAAAAAGAGCTTTACGCCATTGGTCCGCTAAGCGTTTTTGCGTGTTATTAAATTTACCATTATAATTTAAAAGTACACCTAAGTAGTTAAATTCAGCGACAGTTTCTAAAACATTATTTTTATAGAACCAAATTTCGTTTTCTCTTATTTTACCACCGTTTCTGAAAATCATAATTTTAGTTTTTTCGATGTTTACGGTTAAGTCCCACGAATCGGTATACCTTTCGAGTGAGTTTAATAATTTTTGTAAGCCTTCAGGAGTTTCTGCAAATAAAACCATGTCATCTGCGTACATTAATAAAAATAAATTGATCATTTGTAAATTAATTGATGGACAATTATCTGTTAAAAATTGATCTTCACAATCGTTCACATACAGGGAAAATAATATCGGAGATAAAACCTCGCCTTGAAATAATCCATTTGAACATAAAAACATTGCTGAGAGTAAATTATCGTGTTTGACACAGCACCTGACATTGTCATAAAGTGACTTGATTATGTTAAAAATACGCCCTTTAACGCCTTGTTTTACTAATTTGTACCCTAAATTATGTCTATTTACAAAGTCAAAAGCTTTCCTATAATCCACGAAGCAGCAGTAAAGTCGTTTTTTTTTTATTAAGATATTTTCTAATTAGATAATGTAGGGAGAAAATAGCATCAGTAATTGACATATTTTTTCTAAATCCAAATTGTGCGTCTGTAATGAGGGAATACTGTGATCAATCTTTTATTTAAAATACTTGTAAATAGTTTACCTAAACAACTGAGTAGCGTTATTCCTCTAAAGTTGTCAGCGTCGTTTACATCTCCCTTTTTAAAGATTGGGACAATAGAGCCTATCGACTAACTTGTTGGAAAATAGCCCGAATCATAAACATTATTAAACAAATTCTTAAGACAAGGCATCAGGGTCATTTTGCATTTAATTAGAAACTCATTTAATATTCCATCTAATCCACTCGATTTATTAGTCTTTAAGTTATCAATTGCAGAAGATATTTCTAATTCTGATATTTCTAAATCTAGCTCTTGTGTATTCACATCAGTGAGATGATTTTCATATTTATTCATATATTCCTCTACTGTTTCGTTGACTTTAGCATTCGTGGAACATAGGTTTGAAAAATGTGAATAAAACTCTTCAGTAGATAAATTTGATTGTACCGGTCTACCAGCCCTTTTAAAATATTTATAAAATTGTCTGGGGTTATATTTTCTTAAAAAATCCAACATATTTCCTTGTTGTAATTTATATCTATTTTTTAACGTGCGCTCAATTCTCTTATATTTTCTTTTGTTAGTAACAAGAGTCGAATGATTTTCGAATGACTTATACATATTAAATGCATGAAGTGAATTTTTATATTCTTTAAATAGCTGTTTACATTCTTCGTCAAACCACGGTTGGTCGAACTTAGCAGATGACCTTTTATTTTTAATTACTTTGTGGGACCTACAGATTTTAATTTCACTGCAGAAAGGATGTATAATACTAACAAGCACCCCTAAAAACTTTTCAATCGAGTTGTTTATGCTACGTTGATTGTGTTTTTCAATTTTACATAGTTCAAACAACTTATTAAATTCATTACTAACAGCATTAACAACATGGGCTGAATTTTCCTCATTCCATCTGAAAATAGAGTTCGTGTGGTTGTCAGAATTTATACAATCAGTATTATCAGAATTTATACCATCATTGTTATCAGAATTTATACAATCATTGTTATCAGAATTTATACAATCAATGTTATAAATAACAGAACACAATTTTTATGGGAAACAATCACTGGTTTTATTCTAATAGCACGACGTTTCGACAAGTATCCTCTTATCGTTATCAAGTGCTTGATAACGATAGGAGGATACTTGTCGAAACGTCGTGCTATTAGAATAAAACCAGTGATTGTTTCCCATAAAAATTGTGTTCTGTTATTGTGTACCCCAATCACTAAATGCCACTTAAAGACAATGTTATAAACATTATTATAAACATTATTTCTTGTGTCAACCGGGCTACAAATTGTGAAGCTTACAGGTGCGTGGTCAGAGTATTGGTTAAACATACCACTCTGGAATGACAATATTTTAGAAAACGTTTTCTCATCGCATAAGACATAGTCTATTAAACTTGTGCCTCTAGTGTTATAAAATGTAATTGCCCCACTTTTATCTTCAACATGTCGACCATTCACAATTCTCAGACCGGTTGTTTTACACAACGAAAGTAAGTTTCTACCAAATTCATTTACATTTAGGTCGGTGTTATTTCGCTTACTAATGGTACATATATCAGGTGTGTATGTTATGACTGACGACAGATTATCTAAACATGTTTTAGACAAACAGTCCAGCTCAATGTGATCATTGTTAGTACTCGTTCTACTATTGAAATCTCCGAAGCAAACAATGGTACCATTTGATTTATATTTAAGTATACAATCTTCTAAACAAGTAAATAGATCTACATCATATTTATCATAGAAGACACCATTAATTGGTGGGAAATAGTTAGCTATCAAATATAATTTATCGTGTGATT